CCCTGTGCTTGCCTTTCAGATTCGCACAAAGTGGATCCCCATGGTGAACGGGGGAGTCGAAAAGGGCTCCAGGTACCGTGTGTGGCGTGGTCTGCGGGTGCAGAATTGGGGGGTTCCAGAGGCTTGCGGGGTCCTCGCCACTTTTGCGTTGGGCAGAGGTTGCTCGGCTCAAACCAGCTTTGTGGCTCATGGCCAGACCACTTGTAGCAGAAGAACGTGGGGGCTTTTCTCCCTCACAGATCTAGCTGAGGCAGAGGGCCGCAGGAGAGGGTTCCTTCCCCCCTTGGTCTCTTCTCAGGCAGGCAGGGACAGGAGGCTGCCAAGGGAGTAAAGGAGCGCAGAAACCGCAATCTGTGTGTGGATCGCTGAGGCAGAAGGCTGCTGTGCTGGATTAAAGGCTCCTGAACATATTGTTGCTGGGTGAAAGCGTAAGCGGGATCAGGCAGTCTGTTTCTCCAGATGGATGCTCCCAGCCGTGGGAGGCAGGAAAGCTGCTGTGGACCTTGCGGAGGAGGGTGGGGAGGCTCCCCAGCCTGTTGCCTGGGAGCACGGGTGGCTGGGGCAGGGCTGAGACTGGGAGAGGGGTGGCCTGACTTATGCTCCTTGACCCTGTTCTTTCTTCCCCAGGATCCCCATTATTTTAGTGGGAAACAAGTCTGACCTGCAGGTGGGGAGCTCCATGGATGTCATCCTGCCCATCATGAACCAGTTCTCAGAGATTGAGACCTGCGTGGAGGTGAGGGAACTGGAGGGTTCCCTGAGGGGTAGGAACTCTTGTCTGGTGTAAGCCAGGGAGCCTTTTGTGCTTGGGGAGAGCTACGCTGCTGATGTTGCTCTGCAGAAGTACCCGTCTGGTTCCTGAGGGCCTCTGCTTTCAGCTTTCTGTCCTTTGCCTTCCTCGCAGGGAGTGGGGTTCAATGTCTGCCCACTCTAGCTCTCTAGCTGTAACTGGTGTTGGAGCCACGAGCAGTCCCTGTTGGCTCTGGGTGCAGCAAAGCCAGTGTATGAGCAGGAGGTTTCCCTTTTGTTTTTTCCTAATGGTGGACAGACCTTTCTCTGTGCTTTGATGCACAGCTTACCTGGCTTGGTGAGCTTGTATCATCCTCCTCCTGTCCCTTGGCACCAGCCCATTGCCTGCCCCGCTCACAGGGCTGTCTCTTCCTTTGAATCCCTAGTGCTCTGCCAAGAACCTCAAGAACATCTCTGAGCTCTTCTACTATGCCCAGAAAGCTGTGCTGCACCCCACCGCCCCGCTCTACGACCCAGAGGAGAAGCAGGTAGGCAGCACTGCTCGCAGCCCCTGGAGGAGCTCCTTCCCATCACAGCGCTCCGGTCTGGTGCTGTGCTTTTGCCCCTGGGTAGAGGGTGGAAAGTTGGGGCTGACGCAGCCAGAACGAGAGGAAAGCACCTATCCCCTGTGCTCAGCACAGCCAGCTGAGCACATCCAGGCCAGAGAGATGTGCAAGGACTAGGGCTGCGTTGGGGCAGAAGCCCTCATGCTCCAGACCATGTGTTAGCCGTGGTGGGAAGGGTCCAGGAGAAACCTTCCCCATGGGCTCTCCTGCTTTTGACTCCCACCTCCAAGGTGGCTGTGGTACTGGCCTAGCTGGTTCATGTTCCCAGCCAGTGCTGGGAAGGGCACCCCTCTGTGCCTGGGGTTTCAGGAGGCAGGAGGAAAGGCCAGGCTGAAGGTGGTACCCTGTTTTTATCACCATGGTTGGTCCCTTGCAGCTGAAACCTGCGTGTGCACGGGCGCTGACCCGGATTTTCAACCTCTCGGACCAGGATAACAACCAGATCCTTAGTGATGATGAACTCAACTACTTCCAGGTAGGGCTGGCTGCAGAGCTGAGATACTCCCCAGTCACTTGTGGGAAGCTATTGGGGTCCTCTTTCCTTCCAATACCAGGCAGAAAGGCGGCTCCTCTCCTGACACAGACATCCCATTTGCATTCAGTACTTCTGCTGTTGCACAGCTAAAGCCCTGTAGAGTGTGTCTCTGAGCACACGGACATCCACAGGTCTTCCATCTTCACTAAGCTTGGGCTGGGTTTGCTCTGCTGTGGGAAGAGCAGGAGGCTCTGAAGATGTTGAGTCATGTGTTAGTGGGATGCTGAAGGTCAGGGGTTTGGTCAAGGTCTAAGGCAGTAATCCTTCAGCTGGGTGGATTTGCTCTGCTAGAAACAGCCTCCTTGCCAGGGGAGAGGGATGCTGGTGAGACCGAGGGTTGCGCCGTCTGTGTGCTTTGCTGATGACGACCTTTCTCTTGGGAGGCAGAAGTCCTGCTTTGGAAACCCACTGGCTCCCCAGGCCCTGGAGGACGTGAAAATGGTTGTGTGGAAGAACACCACAGACGGGGTGCAAGACAACGGCCTGACGTTGAACGGTAACAGCACAAGGGCTCTGTGCCCCTTCCCAGCAAGGAAGAGGGACCTGTCTCCTTCAGGGGCCCTGCCCTTGGGCTGAGCCTCTTGGCTCTCATTCCCAGCCTAGTTAGTCCCTCTTGTCAAAGCAAGCCTGAGCCTGCTGTGGCTACCAGAGCTCTCTGTCCAAGCAGCCTGTTTTCCTAGGGCAAGAGTGGTCCCGAGGAGTGGATCCCTGAGGCTGAGCACAGTGGTTGGTCCCACTGTGTCTGAGCTGCCTGATCTCTTTTGCAGGCTTCCTCTTCCTCAACACACTCTTCATCCAGAGGGGCCGGCATGAAACCACCTGGACCATCCTTCGCCGCTTTGGGTACGATGACGAGCTGGAGCTGACGGATGACTATCTCTACCCACAGTATGTATCCTTCAGTGGAGTGGGGCAGGCAGGGTGTGACGTCCCCATGGTGCACCCCTGGGGCTACTCAGCGCCTTTGCCATCTCCTTTCTGCACCCTGGGGTTTCCTGCGTTCCTCAGCTGAGGCTGAATCTGCACCCCCAGCTCACGGTCGGGTTCACGCTCCACCTTCCCCTGTGGGCAGGAGCTGACACGTGGGGTTGGTGATGAATGCAACGGGCCTTGGAGCTGCTGACTGTGCTGCTGGCTCCGATGTAGGCGAGCAAGGAGGTGGGGAATGAAGGCCTGTCCCTGACTTCCCTTGACATCAGCAAGGGGTTTTTGAAGGTTGTTCTCTCTCTGCCTGAGCTGAGGCAGAACAACTCTGTCGGGAGCAGCGAGCTGTCAGCAGAGCCCCCTCGGCTGATTCTGCAGCTGCTGTCTCTTCTCTGCTCCCTGCCACCCTGGAGGTGGTGATCTGGCAGTAATGAAAGGGTTTGGCTTGTGAGCTGCTCTCATCCCCAGACAGCAGGCTGTGGGGGGAGGCAACAGGGCCTGTGCTGTGGAAAGACCCCAGGGGTAGTGCTATGCCCTGTTGAAGCCCTGGGCGCGAAGCAGAGGAAGGGCTGCATCATCTCCCTGGCTGCTGGGTGTGCCAAGGAGAGGTCACTGTGCACCCTCGAGGGCTTCTCCCCGAAACAAGGGGGCTGTGTTGAGGAGTAGCCAGGCCTGGAGCAGTGAGGGAGCGGCGAGCTGTGTGCTCTGAGATCTGGCTTGGCCCAAGACCCGCTCACATGCTGCCTTTTGTTCAGGGCTCGAGGGAGCTCACTTTTTGGTCTCTTCCAACAGGTTCCGCCTTCCCCCTGGCTGCTCCACAGAACTCAACCACTTGGGCTACCAGTTCCTGCAGCGGCTCTTTGAGAAGCACGACAAGGTGGGCAGCGTGCGCTGGAGCTGCCCGGGGAGGGGATGCTCTCTGCTAGGCCTTGCACGGTGGGGCACAGCTCTTCTCCTGCCCACCCCTCTGCTCCGGGGGGCAAATGTAGTGCCAGTGAAGGGCTTTCCTCTGCCACAGCGCTCCCTTCACGGCTTCTCGCTGAGCCTTTGAGAGCAGGAGGTGGCCACAGCAAGCTGTAGGTAGTCCAATGGCACGTCAAGGGCATGGGGTTGTGGTCACTACCTTTGACCAAAGCGCAGCCAGTGAAGTTTGGGCCTTCGGGGGTGGGTTTGAGTGAACATCAAACTGGCGTCGCCCCTCATAGTGCCTGGCTGCAGCCCACGGGGTGGCAGGGAAAGCAGGCACAGCTGCTGGCCGTGAGGCACGGCCCAAGCATAGGCATCCGCATGGCTGCCAGCCCTGTGGAGCGGGGCGCCAGGCCAGAGAGAGGGAGAGAAAGCAGCTGCTGCGTGCCATCCTCTGGCTTTTTGGAGAGGGGGAGAAGGGGATGGGCCAGATCTGCGTGCACCTGCTCGGCCTAGTTACTCGGTGCTGATGTGCATCTGGGGTACGGCCGCTCTGTGGCCACGGGGCATCGCAGCACGGAGTCGATGCACGGCCCCGTGTGCTCAGATGCCAGCCGAGCCTCTGTGACACACCAGCCTGAAGGCGCTGCCTTG